AGTCCAACTGAGTTGCATTTGCAAGCAGCGAAAAGGGTGTTAAGATACGTGAAAGGTACTGTGGATTTGGGAGTCTTTTATCAAAAGGAGGGTAATGGAGAGTTGATGGCATATACAGACAGTGATTATGCAGGAAATGTAGATGACAGGAAAAGTATTTCTAGTTATGTGTTTCTACTCAGTTAAGGAGCTGTGTCCCGATCCTTTAAAAAACAGCCTGTAGTTGCTTTGTCCACTACTGAAGCAGAGTTTGTGGCAGCAGCCTCTTGTGCTTGTCAAGGTGTGTGGATGAGGAGAGTATTGGAGAAGCTTGGTCATTCTCAAGGCGAGTGTACCACTGTGTTATGTGACAACAGTTCTACCATTAAGTTATCCAAGAACCCAGTTATGCATGGACGCAACAAACACATGGACGTAAGGTTTCATTTCTTGCCTGATTTGACCAGAGATGGAGTTGTTGAGCTAAAGCATTGTGTCACACAAGAACAAGTTGCAGACATTATGACAAAACCACTTAAGCTGGATGTGTTCTCGAAGCTGCGTGAGTCAATGAGTGTGTGTGTAGTACCACGAGTAAACTGAAAGCATTACTGCAATCAGTTTAGGGGAGAAATTGTTGGGGTTGTCAGAGTTATAGTTGAAGTTGTTAACAGTTCATTCAGTTAATAAATCCTATTATTTAGGATATGTACGGATAGAGTCTGAACATTTCCTTAGTCAGTTACCACGTTATTGTTGGAAATGGTTATAAAATTCTGAATAAAATCAGAATTTTTTCCTAAGTTCGGTCTATTTTTTAGGTGGGCCCCAAGTGTCGATTTACTCGGGTCAAAGTGGTAACGCGTTCTATGCCGCGTTGTGATTCACGTGGTATATTTGGTTGCTAAAAAACCATTACCGAGTGAATGGGAAATTGAAGCCAAAGTGTGCTCCATGGAAATGGAGTTTTGGTGGAAATTACTTAAGGTGGTAAATTGGCTTGTCCCACATTGATTTGGTGGGAAGTTTTGAAAGGGTTTATAAGGCTTAGGGTGAGATACTTGGGGTGTGCCCCAAGGGGTACCCAAGTGTTTTAGAGGGAGAGGTTATGGGCAAAATGGGTTAGACCCATTGGACCCAAAAATCACCACACACGCACCACCGGTCGGGCACGGGTGTGTGGTGTGGCTTCTAATCTTTTTGGGCCAAAAACATTTGAATTTTATTTTATTTTTTATTAAAATAAAATCCAGAATTCAAATTAAACTGTGCCCCAAGGTGTACCCAAGTGTTTTAGAGGGAGAGGTTATGGGCAAAATGGGCTAGACCCATTGGACCCAAAAATCACCACACGCGCACCGCCGCCGCCGTCCATCCGGTCGGTTGGGCTTCTAATCTTTTTGGGCCAAAAACATTTGAATTTAATTTTATTTTTTATTAAAATAAAATCCAGATTTATTGTTCATCCAAACAGGGCCCTTCCCGTTTTTAAACAGAATTAAACTGTTTTGGATTTATTGCTCATCCAAACAGAGCCCTTCCCGTTTTCAAATAGAATTAAACTGCTTTGGATTTATTGCTCATCCAAACAGAGCCTTTCCCGTTTCTATCTGCTTGAATAAACAGATTCAAATCTGTTTAAATTTGAATCTAACAGGTTTCATACCTGTTCAATTCAAAACCAAAAGCCACCTTTACATCTATAAATAGACTAGCCTCCCATTTGGATTTGTGTTACACTCTTCTTTCGGAAATAAAATGCAGCAAGATGAAGAATATAATTTGCAGAGGATGGAGTACGAAAAATCTGAATGAAATCCAAATGGGAGGCTAGTCTATTTATAGATGTAAAGGTGGCTTTTGGTTTTGAATTGAACAGTATGAAACCTTTAGATTCAAATTTAAACAGATTTGAATCTGTTTATTCAAGCAGATAGAAACGGGAAGGGCTCTGTTTGGATGAGCAATAAATCCAAAACAGTTTAATTCTGTTTGAAAACGGGAAGGGCCCTGTTTGGATGAACAATAAATCCAAACCAGTTTAATTTGAATTCTGGATTTTATTTTTAAAAATAAAATAAAATTCAAATTTTTTTGGCCCAAAAAGATTAGAAGCCACACCACACACCCGTGCCACGCCGGCGCGTGTGTGGTGATTTTTGGGTCCAATGGGTCTACCCATTTTGCCATAACCTCTCCCTCTAAAACACTTGGGTACCCTTGGGGCACACCCCAAGTATCTCACCCTAAGCCTTATAAACCCTTTCAAAACTTCCCACCAAATCAATGTGGGACAAGCCAATTTACCACCTTAAGTAATTTCCACCAAAACTCCATTTCCATGGAGCACACTTTGGCTTCAATTTCCCATTCACTCGTAATGGTTTTTTAGCAACCAAATATACCACGTGAATCACACGCGGCATAGAACGCGTTACCACTTTGACCCGAGTAAATCGCACTCGGGGCCCACCTAAAAAATAGACCGAACTTAGGAAAAAATTCTGGTTTTATCCAGAAT